GATGTTAACCAACGTTTCAGAGGTCATACTGCCTCCGTCATCAGGGCGACAACCCAGAAGACAGAAATCTTCATACTCAACGCTGTGAAAACCTCAAATCTTACAGATCTTATAATATTTTTACACGTTTTTGGGACATAGTGTAGATGTATGACTGTATGTTGCGCGTTACATGAAATACGGACATATAATTTGGAATTCGTATGAACATTGCAAATAAATTAATGACTTATTCACTTACAGACCACAAATTGATTGGCTGTGGATTAAAACGTTACTCTTTTTTTTATTACCACGTGCTTGTATATCATGCGCTATTGATCAAGTTCTCAATAAAGGCGCTAGATGGCGCTGATGTTGTAGTTTGTAAGTGCTGCTGCCTTTTGCTAGATTTTAGAACTAGCAGGGTACTTCTGAAGGTGACGTGTTAAAATTATCTCCACATGTTCCGGCCCCCTAAATTGACTATGGTCTATGAAGTACTGAGTTTATATTTTATTGGCTAGTTTATGTTACATAAAAAAACAGCATTTTAATTCTTAAAACAGCATTTAAAAGAAAAATGCATTAATTACATGAGTGCAATGCTTCAGTCAGCCGCTGTATATTATAAATTGCTTACAGGGAAACGAAAGATTTTGGCTGTAAAGCCTAAAGGGTACAAACCACTCAGAAGAATAATATTAAAATGGATCTTAGGGATATAGGGTTGGATTCAGCTACCCCAGGACAGGGGCCAGAGGTTGGATCTCGTGATCTTGAGTAGCCGAGTGCGCAATAAGATATTCAGAAAGGACTCTGATCAATGGAGTTGATTGTGGGTGTGAAACTTGGTCTCTGACCTAAAGGAGTTTATCTCAGAACTTGATAATGAGGAGGTTATTTTGGCAGCAGAAAGGAAGTAACAGATGTTTCGTAATATTTACTTCTACAAAGATTGAACGAAGAAATATAATCAGGATGCATCATCAGAGAAGCTTCATACTGGATAAATGAGTATTTTATATATTTATATATGTATTTTATTACAGTAACATAATTTTTTTTTTTGTATATTGCACTGTTTAATTGGGAAAGCGACTAGGTATGACTTCACAAATTATGTCTGTACCATCAATAACAGCGCGTGAGATAATTTTCAAAATGTGATTAAACATAACAACAGCAAAATTGTAAACCTACGATTATGTTCGTGATGTCATCGGAATGTTTTCGTGGTCATGTACAGTCGTCGAATGGTTCGGTATTATACTTTGTGCGCGCATTTTGAAGAATCTCAGTCCCCGCTAGGAGCGCTGGCGGCAGTCACTTCATGCCAACATTCCGCAGAGATAAACCTAACCTCACTCCATTTTCTGGTCTCAGCACGAGCTCGCTTAACAGAGCGACGTCCTCTCTCTTGTCAAGGGAACGCAGTTTGTAGTGACGTAGAATGTAGGAGAGCACCGTCTTCTCCTCGAGCAGGGCGAACTTCTGCCCTATGCAGTTCCTGGGGCCTGCGCTGAAGGGGATGTAGGCGTAGGAGTGTCTCTTTGATGTCCTCTCCGGCAGGAAGTTGTCCGGGTCGAACTTTTCGGGGTCGGGGAACTGATCGGGGTTCCGATGGAGGAAGTATATGTGAAGATGCACTGTGGAGCCTGCAGGCACTATGAATTCACCTGATAAAAGAAAATACTTGCAGTGAATTTGGTACCTACCAGTGGTTTTGCTGTGGGGATTTACGTATTCGTGTATAAGAAGGGATGAATGTAGCAAAACTTTAAAAAAAATCCACTAAGAACTTTATATCCGATAAAGTCGTTCCAAGTGACGAGATATTTTCTTTCTGCTTTTAATATAATTTAATATTCTCACTTATGTTACTCTGCGTGTACTTCTGCGTTATGTGACGGGACGAATGGTCATCGCTAAATTTATTTTGTCCGACAAAAGTTTTTGTATTGTTTCAAGAAAATTTTTTTACCCATCTTAACATCTTCATTCAAAACTCTTCCAATACCCGGAACACTGGGGTACAATCTTAGGGTCTCTTTGATGACCCTCTCAAGGTATTTCATCTCGTTGAGGTCCTTCATCGTTGGAGAGCGGTCAGACCCTTGGAAGATGCTCTTCTGCTCCTGGTACGCCTTTTCCTACGCACGCATCAACAAACAGCATCAGGGAACAATATTATGTATATATATTATTTAAATCTTGTCCGTCTTAATCACAATAAATTCTTATTAAATATTAAAATATTAAAATAATTAACATTTAAAATATTTAAAATATTAAATGATTATTAAATATTAAAATATTACTATAATTAACATTTAAAATATTAAATGATGTTCTTTATCGAAATATTCGATTTACATTAAATGTTAATTATTGTAATATTTTAATATTTAATAAGAATTTATTGTGATTAAGACGGACAAGATTTAAATAATATATATTTATTATATCACAATATGACGCAACTTTACCATCTCATGAATATTATGTATCTTAAAAATCTTCATTGATGGAGATTATCTACTATGTTAACATTCGGTAACCTTTTATTTTGTAGGACTCGAGGTGGTGGGTCTGGAGATGAGCGCTCTTCGCCCTGATGATTGAGGCAGCAAGGACCTCTGAAACTTCTACCAGACTACATGGTGCAACAACCCAGAAGGCAGCCAGCCATCTTCAGTCTTATATTTTGTCCACAAAACACATTCACGGTTCTCTTTCGGATAAGTATAATTAACGGATATCTTCATAATTATCAGATTTATAATTTAATCAGGCCTACCGTGTGTTTTCTTACGTAAGTGACATCATAACCTTAACAGCTTTACGCTTATCAGAATGACGAGTGGTCAAAGTCTGGATATTGTATAACAAAGTGATCCTATCCACTCCATGACTCAAATAAGATGTCTTAACTCTTTTCCTGTTCTTAAGAAGGTTTCTGGGGAGCTTACCACACTTCGAGCAGTCCCTGTGGGATTTGCGGTAGGCAAATTGTCAGCGAGACGCTCCTCTGACTGACATTAATTCGTACGTCGTCAGATATCAAAATGACCGCGGATATTGACATTTAAAAATTCATGGTACGATTTGGTAATTTTTTTGAGGAAAACTACGGAAGTCAGGATAGCCAATCTTCAGACAAGAATTGAAACCCCAGATCTCCTGGAATCGCAGTTTTTGGATCGTCTGTGTGTGTTCCTATTACTTGTTTATCTGCGCACCTGCACATCAGGATGGAGACCCAGCATATAGAGCGCCCAGCACATCCCAGCGCTTGTCGTATCATGGCCCTAGGGGACGAAACAAAATCACAGATGTGAAAAGCGAGCCTGATATTGGCTTCATATAACTTCATATCTTTTAAAGACAACAGTCTTCTGGGGAAATGTAGCTTACAGTCTGGTAGACATTGACCGACAGATGACGAAGGCCGTACGCTTCACCGAAACGTCAGTATGTACCAGAATGCGTGGCGCATCACCCTAGAAGGAGGCCGTCTTCATATTCGCTGCCACGAAAAACTGCATCTTTCCTAATCCTTTCCTTTTACCCACCTCAAACATGAAAGTGTCCACTTCTTCTCGTATTTCTTCGTCTGTCAGCTTCCTGCCTCCTTCAGAGACATCTAGTAGCATGTCCAGGAAAGCCACTCGCTCCTTCCTGCCTGCAAGAGCGTGTCTAATCTGATCGACATTTACCCAGTACGTTAAGTAAAATTAATTCAATTATAAAATGTAACACAACACGAAAGCATTTTTAACATTTTATCAGAAATGTCTCACAACTTAATGATGACCCATCTGCCTTTGCATTGGAGCTCAGTCGTCTGTCCTTTGGTACAGGCGAGATGGAAGGCAGTCCCCACCTAATGGTACCTGAACCTTGTCGTGGTGGGGGGGCTTGAGTACCTCAGTGACCCCAAGAGCTACTGGTAGGGCCTCCCTAGCCAGATTGGCCGAGGGGGAGAGGTCAGACTAAGACAGGTACCCTGGTCCTCCAGGTTGGGGGTTGGTCGCAAGGCTAACAACCTTGCACCATAAAAAGAAGATGTTTCAAAACCTCGATCAAAGCCTCGAACGGACGGACCTAACAGAGAACTGAATGAAAGAGAATTGAAGAGGCCATGGACCGAATATGGACCGGACAGCCATAGAATAAGAAGAAGATTGAAGCCAGTTATTCATCTGAAGGGACTGATGAAAATCATGGAAGGTCTGACGAGAGGATAGAACCAGAGTTTGTCCTCAATATATCAGAAGTGAGATCTCTGGTTCTCGCAGTGATGCGTAGGAAGGTGACCGTCTTCTGGAGTCTTTAGACCACGCAGTCTGGAAGAAATTGGCGTCGCCTTGAGCATGGAGGCGGTAAGTACTTCTGAAACATCGGTCAGTTTCTACCAGACTACGTCGTGCAACACCTCAGAAGACAGTCATCTTCTAAGTCAGGCGTGTTATGGCAGTGGACGTCTTTTGGGATCCGAGTTTCATATATGGCGGGCAATGTGTGTCGCAGTTTGAAAAGTATCTCTCCGCCGTGACCTACCTATTTCGTCGTCTTCGCTGACACCCTTGTCCTCCGTCCTTTGGCTCTTGGTCGCATACAGAGACTTCTTTTCCTTAATCACCTGAAAAAGCACAGCGCGCAAAACTGAGATATGACGCTTATGGAAGTACGAACATGTTTTCAATTATGACCTCAAGTGTCCCTCCGCGGTGATCTCTGACAAACCTCAGGGCAGCGAGAGAATTCTGAACGATGTATAATAAGTTTAAATTTATTAATCGATACCAAAATGTAACTACAATATATGAATGTGGCATGTGAATGTCATAATAGCGCGACAGCGTTGCGCTCTTAAATTACATTCCTCCTTTTTATAGGGCACAAATATAATTTTTTTTCTCGTAAAGTTTAAACATAACCTAATATCATCCAGATTCAGATTTGATTAAATTGAAAGAAATTTAAATTAGATGAATCAGTCCTCGTTTTATGTAGACGCCAAAATCAAACCAGCTATGTAAAATATTTTGCTTTCTGTAGGCAGAATTGCGAACGGAGATTATTTTACACCGAGGTTCAGAATTCTGACTGTGACCGACAATCAAAAATGAACATCACTTTATACCTTGTTTGTGAAGCTGTGTAGCAGTGTCAGACGCTCATTGTACTTCTTGCCAGCGGAACTCAGTCTGAACAGGAAATCTGGGTGAAGCCAAGGGCGTATCATCCGGAATATCGTGACCTCACTCAAACTACGACACGCGAATTGGATGAGATTTGACAATGAGTTGTGACGCCATGTTTGTAGATACGAATTTTTGAAAAAATATATACTACCTTCATGTTCAGGATTGAAGATGGAGGCAGTATGTTCCTACAAAATGTTAATATATGTCCATGGATCTTAAGGGTATCTATTTTACAGTATTATAACATCTAAGAGGTCATATATGGGGCTTTTGTTGTACTTGGAAGAAAATTATATTTTACGCAGAGATTGAGGTTATGTGATCCTACTTGGAAGAAAATTATATTTTACGCAGAGATTGAGGTTATGTGATCCTACTTGGAAGAAAATTATATTTTACGCAGAGATTGAGGTTATGTGATCCTACTTGGAAGAAAATTATATTTTACGCAGAGATTGAGGTTATGTGAGATGAGGGTGCTAATGAAAATACGTGGACACAGAAGGGATGAAGTGACAAAACTGAATAATGGGGATGTTCATAATTTGTACTCATCACCAAATATTATTAGAATGATGACGATGGTTGGGGCATGTAGCATGCACGGGAGAGATGTAAAAAAAATACAAAATTTTGGTTGCAAAAGTTGAAGGCAAGATACAATTTGGAAGGTCTCAGTATAGATTAATAATGATATTAAAATGGATCTTAATTAATGTCGTGAGAGTTACTGTAAAATTTTGGTTCCATAAAAAGCAGTGGAATTAGCTTCTTAAGACGGACTATGGAGTTAGTTGCATTTTTTTATTTTAGATTTTATTTGGGGCACCGCGTATTTTAGAATATCATGAGTGCTAAGCTGGTATCGGCAGACACAGTTTGTAATATTGCTCTAGAAATTGCTTTTTGAAGGTGGCTGTCCTCGGGTACCTCCTGCATTCAACCCATAAGACAGAATTTTTCATACTCTTTGCCATGAGAACGTGCAAAATTACTCTCCGTTTTCAGCACATGCAGTCTGGATGATGACTCACTCGTAAATTGCAGAGACGTAAGGCGAATCTAAGTCTTCTTGAGCGTAAACTGGGGTCCCCATTGCAGTTTCTGTAACACAGTCACACGTTCTGTAGTTCAGTGGGGCTCAGTCCTTCAGAAGCGTAAAGTAGGACCACGCAGGAGAACAGGGAAGGCAAGGGTTCATTTTCCCACCGCCTTCAAAATGTTAAAGGAAAAGAATAGATTTAAATGTCGACGTAAAAGTTTGTTTTCGTGTTTCACCTTCCGAAAACAACTGACTCACTCACATGAAATTATGTACTTCAGTCTTCAGCGAATGCTGACTTAAGTATTTCATTTCTCAACTTGCAAAAAAAATGTTTAAACTAATGAAATATGCGTTACTTGGGTAACATTCACAACATTTTAATGATCATTTAGTGGTGAATACGTATTTATTCTAAAGGATCTTTGTGGCCTATTTTAAGGTATGGTCTCAGCAATCAGCGAAATGACTGAGGAAAACCGTGAAACACACACTTGGCAGCCTGAATTGAAAGAAGGTATCTGTAATAAACTTTTATACTGATAACATTCTCTGCTTTATAAATTAGAGATTTTTTAACCTTGAATAACGTCTATAAAATCAGACGGAAACTGTAAGACGTAACTTCTTCAAACGCCAATAACTCGAGACGTATGTAAGATAGAGAATATCAACCTATATGTAAATTAAAGAGTAAATAAAGCTTTTTCTACATGATGTTTACTTTATTCTATAAATAGTTGAAATAATTACCCAAAACATGTAATAACTGTACCCTCGTTCCTTAAATTCAACCGCTCGCCACGTCTAAAGCGTGAGAGTTAGATCTCGACATATTGCGAGTGAAATACGTAAATAAACACGAGATTTTCATAGACAAGATGGCGGCGGATGACGTCACGTATAGATGAGATGTAAAGGTATATATATATTGATGTGTAAATAAAACTTTATTTCAGTACAAATATACTTTACAGTTTAACGTTATTGAACGTTAACTGGGGAAAAGTGGTTCCACTGTCAATATTTTTATAGTGTTTGACAAGTTGGAAAATATAAAGAACTCTAATCCTTGCAGTTGACTTTCATAAATTTTAGCTCCTGAACGTAACTCACCACAGATAATGTCCAGGGCACAGCGGGTGATGTAGGGATACACGTCGAAGCCCTGAGATCCGACTTCCTTCTGCAATTTGGTGACCAGAATCTTACTCTTCTCCGAGAACACTTCCACGAAGTTGTCCAAGATCTTGAAGTGGAAAGTCGGCGTGATCATCTTCCTGTGGGTGTGCCACTTCTGACCTGGTTTTAACAATTAAAGATCCGATCCGATTATTTATCGTGGACAGTGAAAAATTGGGTTTGATCTTAGGTTCTAACATTGTAGAAGGTTTACGGACGTTTCAGAGGTGCAGCTTTCTCCGTCAGGACAGTCGTCTCACAGCAGATTAATTTTGGTCCTTATTGTGAATCATTAAATATAATTCAGATTGAATTTTATGCTTCTGAATTAATTATTTTGCCACAGTGATATGGAGCATTGCTGTTCAATGGAACTGATTGCGATTACAGAGATTAGGTGTTTTACCTGACGACGTGAGCAGCCCAGTTCCCAGCCAGGGGCGCAGGAACTTGTAAGCGAACGGCTTGTCCAGATGTCTGATGCTGTTTAGGACAGCCTGAAAGACAAGACAACTCCAGTGAAGACCTGCAGATGGAGGACGTCTAAATCCCATGTACATTAAGATGGCTGTCTTCTGGGTTGTTGCACATTTTAGTCTCGTATAAGTAAGTTTACGGACGTTTTAGAGGTCCTTGCTGCCTCCGTCATCAGACTACACAGATCAACAACCCAGAAGACGATCCGTGTACCTGGTAGGGGCAGATATTACGGGATGCCTGGATTGGTTTCATGGTCCCTGAAAATTCATTCATTATATTGAAAATCTCACAAAACTGGGCCATATTTTGAGACCTGTTAATCTACTGACTCGTCAAAGGTCCATTTTCATTCCCGTGGGGGGTTTCTCAATGAAATTCGAATTTCTCAAACCCTCGACATGTCGTACCGAGTTTCATTCTTCAGGACGAGGAATGCTCGAGGTTTGGGCACAAGATCACTTACCTCTGCGTGTTCAGGTCGTGTGATATTGATCGTCGGTGTAGACCCAATCCAGGCACGGTAGATCGGTTGGTACTGGTTGACTCTGTCCTCCAATAATTTCATCCTCTCTACGAACACACGTGAACCACTCATTTTTTAATAAGAAGATTTAATATCGTAGCAGTCGCGTCCATAAAGAACTTTTTAATGTAAAGTAATAGACCCTCACCACTGCACCCTAAAAGGTACAGGGGGGAGTGGAGACAAAGCTCCATGTATTCCTAACCTCATCTAGAGCTTGATACTTGACAGTGGCCTCGGTTTTGGAACCCCTGGCTTAATATATTCAAACCTACAGGTCCGACGTGTATTTGTGTGGAGAAGAGAGTTATGGGACCTCAGTTTTTAGGGACTTATGTCAGGTTCTGATGAGAATCCTATTCCGGGTTTGGGGCATCGTGTTGACTGACTCGTAGGTAGATGCCAACGTTTCATTTCCGTCCTGAAGATGGAAACAGTAAGTTCCTCCGAAACGTCAGCGTCTACCTTCGGTCCTATACGCTAGGTCGTACGCACTGTTCCTCGACGCCAGTATGAAGGGGAGAGCAGTGCCGAACATAGGGAAGGCAAATGGTCCAGGCAGCTTCTCGATGAGTCGCACCATGCGAGCTCTTCTCGGGTCTCGAAAGAACAACAACATGGACGCTGCGGTGACGACGACAAACAGCAACAAAGTCGTGACCTCCATTGTCGCCTGAAACAACAGAATAACATATTCTGGTGGAAGTTTTAATGGCGTTTCGTCGGTTTTTACTGCCTCCGTCATCAGGGAGAAAAGTCTGGTAGGTAAACTTCTACACGACATCCCAGAAATTTAAACATTCATGTTCGCCGCTGAGAGAACCTGAATTTGAATATCAGTCATCAAAACTAAATTCTCCCTTTATGTGTTCTTGTAAATCGCATCCCTGCTACATGCACTGCCCATCTCAAATAGTTCATATTTCATAATTCAATCTTTCCGTTTTCCTGTCTTGGTTTGAAATGATGCGAGACCAAATTCACGTCCATACAAAACTTCAGTTAAATTTTAGCATTTTATGTATTTATACAAAGTTTCGGTGACCTTGAAATCATGGTGTGCCCCGTTTCGAGGGGGCTTCTGTGCCAGATCACTGCAGTGACGCTACTTTGAAGAAAAGGCCACAAAGAAACCCAGCTTCGAAGTATATCCGAGCTGAATCAAACATCATCGCCCTGATGACGGAAGCAGAAAGGACCTCCGAAACGTTTGTAAACTTCTACCAGAATACAGCCAACTTCAGACTCACCGCCGTGAAAAACCCAGAATCCTACTTAGTTAAGTAGCATTTTTAAAAATGTTTCTGTTATGATCGCATTTCTTTAAACCTTGCCGAGGTGTACATTTGACGTTACTACGTAATTTAGAGAAAAAGATGACTCACGCGACTGTCGTTTCTACAAGTCTGGAGTCGATCTCAGAGCAGTGACGTAGGAGGGGGGAAGGGACTATGGAGACGTTTATACAAAGTTTAATGCAGTTAAATGAAAACTTGAATTCTATGACCATAATCTTTGTTTAACTTTGTAAAAAAAAAAATTTGATTACCTCTCTGATTCCACGCTACGTAGTCTGAGCTACTGAAACAGCGTCGTTAAATACACTATAAATAAATAGGACTCTGAAAACGTGGTTGGTTTTCCAGTGCTCATGTAATTTGTTACTACACTGCATTCAGTAACCTGAGAAGTTTCGTGTTTGCTAAAGCATTGGGACGTGCGTACATTTATTGAAATAATCTTAATTTTAGGTTATGAACTCTTTATTAAACTTTTGTGTGTTGAGAAACTCTAGCTATTCAGGGAATAAGATTTGTCCAATCTCCCTTACAGGGGTGAGGCTGGGGGCAGGGGAGAGTGGTCTTATGACTGCACCTGGCTACTTGGCTCCTCATTGGCTAATTTTGTTCATGTCAGCCCTGAGACGTTAGCAGTCTCAACAGGTTGATGCAGTGTCGGATCGTCCGATAAACCACCCTCAAGATCGCATTACTACTAAAAACAAACCATAAAAGAATAAAGACCTAATAAAATTTAAAAAATATACGAATATTTATTAACTAAAATGTGGCATCTTTGAATATTCCTGTGCTCATGGAAGTCATGAAATCGGAGGTTAAACTCCACTTATTCTGTACCACTGGATTGACATTGAGATGAATGTTGACTTTCAGGCTCAGACTACTTTAATTAATCTTAATTATGTTCTGGAGTTAAAGGTAAATCCCAACGTTTCAAAGGGAACATACCGCCTCCATCTTCAGCTCGTCCTCATGGCGTTAAAACCCATAAGATCAATATTTTCGCTATTGTGAAACCATCAGATAGCAAATATATGTTTGTTTTGTGGGGGGGGGGTTTATTGCTGATTGTCATCTGGTAGAAATTTATTACCGACGTTTCAGAGATGCTAGGACGCAGCGAATTTTTTTTTCCACGTTTTTCTCCAATAAACTGTTCATAGTGATGTTCAGTACGGCCCTACGTAGTTTTAATGGCATCGTTAAACAAATTACAAGAAAGGGACCCAGACACGGCCTGTCACGTGGTGTAGTTCTCCCCACGTGTGCGTGTGACCAGAAGAAAGTGGCCATTTAGTTGCATTGGTGCGTCGTTTAACGTAAGGAAAGTAAAGGATTTTTGTTTTCAGACTCTTCCTATCCATTTTAATATTATCCCGTTCCCTGTTTTTCCACGATACTTTGGAATCAAAATTCTGTACGTGAGATTAAACTTTTCCATGTGTGCTGCGTGCTCAGCCCATCTAAACCTCCTCAGAATATTAGCTTTTGTGAGCTGGGACTGGGGCTGAACGACCTGGGTTCGATTCTCATCAAAAGAGGCATGTGCACGTGTCGGGGGATCAGCTAACTTCGTTTGAAATGGGGACCACGTGGTCCTTACCCCAGAGACACAGGAACTAATTTATCTTTACCAAATTCGTTTGTCCATGTACAAAC